TCAGCACTGCCACCCTCATGTACTCAGCCCACTGATCTGCTGTCCATCCAGACCCAGGCAGCTCCGTGTCATGCTGTCTAACTGTCTTCTCTACCGTGGGTGAGTCTCACCTTACTCCATCTCAGGACTGGAGATGGAGTGTGGGGTCTCACACATGCTAGCAAAGTGCTCCACCACTGAGCCTCATCCTCAGACTCTTTACTTTCTTTTGAAACAGGGTCTCACCAAGTTGCTTAGGTTAGTCTTGAACTCGTGATGATGTCCTTAAACTTCCAGAGTAGCTGAGACTGCAGACCTATGCTACAAGGCCTGGCAACTCTCGTTAATGGGACCAGCTCTCCGCCTCTGCATTCTCCAAGTTCCCCCTGCAGCCTCTTTGGCTCTTCTCTTTTCTTTCTAAAAAAACTACTTTCTACTTGTGGTGTGTGTGTGTGTGTGTGTGTGTGTGTGTGTGTGTGTGTGATGCATACATGCATTTGGGTGCCTTCCAGAGGCCAGAAACACATGTCAGGTCCTCTGAAACTGGAGTTAAAGTGGTTCTGAAGAGCCTAGTGTAGGTGCTGTGAATTGAATACAGGTCCTCTAGAAGAGCAGCAAGTATTATAGACAGATGGACGGACGGATGGAAGGATGGACAGACGATGGAAGGATGGGATATATTACTGTATAAAGTACAATGTATGATCTGGGTGTTAATATTAGTAACTCAGATTGTATTATAGGAAGCTATAATACAACAGCAACACTATCAAGTGAATCTGGATTCTGTGGTGAATTATAAGCTAAGAAACTAAAGCAACTTGTGAATTCACTGTTAATCAATAAATTATAATGTAGAAAGACATGAAAGTATTTGCTCCTGGCATAGGGCACCCATGAAATAGCCATGGATGTCCCACCTTCATGCTAGGCAGCTGAAGCTATGCTAAAAAGTGTGAAGGTTATTTCAAAAATAAACAAAAAATTAACTTCTATCAAGTTGGGAACAATGATGAAATGGGGCCAACTGCAGATGACAAGCTAAGAGACCTTGGCAGAGATAAGCCGAGAGGCCCCACAGACTGACTGCAGCAGGAGCTCCATGGTGAGCGATGCTGCTGCTTTTCATTTTTCTGGCAAGTTTTAGACCAACTCGTGCTTGCCCCACTCACTCTTATGGGGATGAAGGACTGACTGGGAAGTCACACAAGCCAGTAAGATGCTCATCAGGTAAGGGGCACTTGCCACCAAACCTGAAGGCTGAGTTGACCCCCTTAGAACCCATGCGGGAGAGGAGAGAGTTGACTCCCACAAATTAATCTTCTGTACATGTGTGTTTATGAACCTGTATTCCAGATAATTAACAAATGCTGCAGTTTGAAAATTAAGAATGGGCCATCTCAGGAAAGGTTTTGGTCTCGTTTGATGGAAGCTGACATCTCTCTCCCTTTGTGTTTGATGCTGAACTTATAGTAATGCTTGCTCTTTTCCCTCCAGAGCACAACCACCTTGGAAATACAACCCTAAAGGCTCTCTCCTCTCACAGGTGCCTCATCTGTCTTCCAGCTCTGGGTTTGGGTCTATATCCACCACCCAAGTCTTGAGGACTGGTCAGGTATACACTGGGGGAGATAGCCTTGTCTCCCTGACCCCAGAGCAATGGTGTCTTGAAGGAGCCAGACAGATGATCTTCCTATGACCTTTGTCCTCAGACACCCCTGCCCCGCCCTGGGTGACTCCTCAGCATAGGCAGTGGATTTGAAAGCTGAGGCTATCTGAGTGACTCGTGGCCTCTTGGTCCACATGGGAGAGATTTGCGTAGAGGAGGTGTGGTCCTGGGCCCTGAGGAGGGCTATTTAGAAGTCTGCGAACCTGTTCCAACGGACATCTTTCTGGGGCCAGTTGGTGTTTCCAGGCTTGGTTCATCTTCCTAGGGCCATAAGCAAATTTTCAATATTGTCAAGCACTGAGTTTTCCATCTCCTGATGGGGAGACTTAGCACCCTGCCTCAAAAGGAAGGTGTGGTCCTACCCCCCCCTTAGAAAGGAACATCCCTGCGGGGGAGAAGCTGGGCTCCCCTCCCTCCACCCTCACTTCAGCACATGCCTCAGCTGTGTCTGAGTGTCCACAGATGAGGAAATGAGGCACAGCAAACAGCCTGAGCAGACGACCAAGGCAAGCCTGGTGTTGGCCTTCTTGTGATCCAGAACACATCCAGGCTTCTCCTGTCCCTCCCTGCAGGCCCTGTCAGCTCTCAAATGTGTTCCTCCTCTGTTTTTCTCGTCATGTTGCAATGCCCATTTTCTTCCACAAAAGTTCCAAGGAGCACTTCCTGCTCCCACAATGCCTCTGACAGCCACTCTCCTGCAACCATCATGCACTCCAAATGCACACATCTGGGTTTCCATTTGTATAATCTGAGTGGCGAGGAGGAAGGGAACCTGGTGAGGGGTGAAGGACTGAGATCCAGGCTCAGAAACAAAGCAGGAGAGGGCAAAGAAGGTGGAGGATGAGAGAGAGGTGAGCAGTGGGGGAGGGGGGAGTGTGAGGGAAGTGAGGGTGGCCAGGGTGGTGATGCTGAGGAAGATGGGGGGGGCTGAGGGTTAAGTAGGTGAGAATGAAGGAGGTGAGCGAAGGGAGGTGGAGACAAGGGTGGGGAGGTAAGAGGCAATGGAAGTGAGGGTTAGAGAGGCGAGGATGAGGCCAAGGAAGGGGAAGGTGGGGAAAGTGAGGGTGAGGAAGGAGAAACTGGAAGACTAGAGGATGAGAGAAGCAGAAGTGAAGAGGGCAGAGTGCAGGGGGGGTGAGGGGTTGAGGGGTGA